AAGCGATGCCGGAAAGCATTTCCCCCAGGGAGTGGAGGGTGGGTGAAAAAGAAAGGCAATGCCTTGCCCTATGTGTAGCTGTGTGTTCTAGGTTAGAGCCGATATGTAGCAAAGGCACGATTCAGTCACTACCTAGAAAACACAGCTGACACAAAAGACACACACACAGCTAGCGTTCTCTACGTATTGCAGAAACGCTCTTTTTCCGCAGATGGTGCATTGAAGTGCGTTGCGTATGTAGGCAGAGACTCCTGGAGAATCAAATGTATGTTTTTTTTTGCGACATTTGTCCAAAACTCAGTCATTGTATGTATTCACAAAAAACACCTACAATGTAGGAGTTTTCTGGGGTTGTCAAGTTCATTCGAAATAAGAGTGTGGGGTCAAAATTTGGGAAAAACAAAACCAAGCCAAACATATGAAATTTACGGTTGGGTTTTTTTAAAACATCACCGCTTGAGTGCTTCATGAAAAACTGAAGATGATTGAAGTTCAACATTTCCGGTTAGAGAGGTCGGAAATGCTGAATTTCTGCAAAACATGCATGCATGACATGAGCATGGCATGAGCATGCATGGCATGACACTTGAACAGACCCATGTCTCCGCACAAATGCTTCGCTCAGAATGCAGGCAGATTGAATGCACGGACGATAATCAACATGATGTGCAGAAGCTGCAGGTGCAGGTGCCCAATATTTTCACACCACTCGAGTCAGCCACTCTCGAGCGGCAGTAGCGAGGAACCGCTTCAGTGCCGTTTTGCCGGCCGTGGCAGCGTGGCAACCAGCAGCCTTGGCCCAAAGCTGTAAGGATAGATTTGGCATCAGCTCGTGTTCCAAAGAGGTATCTCTTAAGTGTAAAAAAATCTCGTAACTGCGTGCACAGCGACTACAGAGCACATGATTCGCACAAAGTCCTCGTCGGCGAAGCAAGAATTCAGCTGAGGATTGATTCTGCAGGTTCGCAATCTGACCCACATGTGAATCCAAACATGGAGCCTCAGAGCCCACAGATCGCAACAGATAAACAATGCAATGCAGTGCATGCAAATCGAAGACGACATGTAACCTACATCGATCTTTCTTGCGACTTAAGTCTCTTCGGCCGAAGCTTGTAGAGCCGCTTCTGCTCCAGGTAGCTATCATAGGCCAGCCAGCTATATCCAAGAATGAACCGTTTGCATGCCCGCTGGCCACGAACAGCATTCTCGCGGGATATTGCATAAATGCTAGCATCCAAGATCTCGATAGTCACGGCCAAAGCTCGAGCGGTCCTGACAAATGCAGGGGTAGGTGTTCGATTGAAGCAAGCAGTTAACCGAACAGCTTTCTGATTGATTTCCTCCAAAAACTTGGAATATGATCAGAATGGAAGTTTTGCGTAAAATCATTCATCTCGATAGGAGTTTAGGGTTTAGGGTTTTAAAGCGAACCGGTATCTTAAGTCAGTTTGGAATCCGAGGCACATCGACATCACGTATGCATGCTCTCGTCGCCGAGCAGCTGCTGCAGAGCGAGCAAAAGCAGGTGTGATCTCTGCCTTAGATGTCCATGCAATTGATCAGAATCGTGATTCAGCCGTGCATCGTACCTGCAAGTGCACATATTAGCATGCCACCAGAATGCTAGCCACATGCACACGAGCTTGATATCCCAGCCCTTCGCATTCAGACTTGGATAGTCGTCGCTGAAGCTGAACTCATCCATTGCAAGTTCATGGCCGTTGGCCCGTGCCCAGGAATGCAGCATGTCACCTGCTTTTGAAAGCAGTGCTCCTTGTTTCCCAAACATATCAGCCACCATGGAGCCACAGACATCTGCGGCAAATCCTCTGTATGCCACGTGCAGAGAATCATCCCAGATAAGTCTGTTGCTGAAGCCGGAGACATTTAGGATAGGCGACGGAAACTGCAAGTTGTTCATGGTTGCAAGGAAATCCTCGATTGCAGATGAAAGTATTGAAGCATCTAGGCCACCAGTAATACTCTGCATGTGATTCAATGCGTGCCCTACCCTCCCCCCGACTTGGTGTAAAGAGGTCCTGCAGCGACTCCTCGGAATCATGCCAGGCAGAGTCATCGTAAACATTCAAGTAGTGGCTCGAACCAAACGACAAGTAGGTTCTGCCATCGCTCGGGTCGCACGTGCTTGCAAGCCTCAAATATTGGGAAAGAGCAGGAACAATGAATGCTTACGGTCAAGTCCACATCAATGCATTATGTACAGATGCACATACTGGCAGCGAAGAGGCTTGCAAATGTGGCACATCCTGCAGGAATGTATTTTTCGCATTCTGGTCATGTCTGAATGAGTAGGCAACTGCAACTTAATTGCAAAACACATTGGATAGATCCGTCCTGTTCCCTCGGGCCACACCGTTGCCCTTCCAATGACGGGGACTTGGTATTCGCCAGCGTAGTGTTCGTGCTCTTCCACACGTGCATGCACACGTACAATGCAAAGCCCGACAAATGAGGCTTTGGCAACTTGAACACCTGGGCCAGCCATTTGAGATCGCCCTTCATCCCAAAGAAATGCACACGTCGTTCTTGCTGGGCGATGGTGACTGTCCTCCGATTTGATAGAGTTCTCATCTTGTTGAATCCGAACGTATGTCGAAGCAGAGAAAATGAGGATAACAAGTTACACAGCTGAGGCACAAAGATTCCAAGTCTTTGCAAATGATATCCATAATCTTATCCACAGTGGATGGCGTCCGTAGCTTCTTCTGCAAAGGCACAGGCACCAGGAGATGGCCCGGGATCGCACCTCATTCACAAATATGTTTTTACATGTGTATATATGTATACAGATACATCGTTAGATACAAACCGATAGATAGAGAGACAAATAGGCGGACTAGAAATAGATAAATAGATAAAGACATGCATGTAAATATATATATATATATATACATATATGTATATATACATATTTCTGCAAGTACCCATGCAATATGCGTATTCTGCCAGAGTCGCCAGGTACGGGTGATGAACACAGCAAGCAATCTCCACAATACAAGAGAATGCCAAAAAACTGCATCACGATATTGGAAACCAAGACACAAAGCGGCAGACGAGTCATGATCGTGTCCTCATTTATTGAGGACAGGAAACTGCATGGCACAACGACGACCATGTCTGCTTCAGGTGCGACCGAGCATCTCCATGATTGTGCGGGAAACTCAAGGATACCACAAGCAGATTCCTGTTCTTGAAGAAAGGCCCCTCATCGCCATGGATGCGAAGAAACACATCGTCAGGTCCTGCTCCACCGAACATACTAGCACAAGGATGCAACACTATCGCATTATTTCAGACCACCCCGCCTGCAGAGGAGAGGACTTCACATAGTGGCGGTGATTCTTGAATCAAATCCACAAGCCTGGGAGCCAGCAAACATAAGGAACCCTGATTTGCAGCCTAGCGTGAGCTGCTTCTGCTCACGTCGGAAGGACACACGGTGACAAGGCAGGACCCTTCAGTCTTCCAGCACAGGAGCAATTGTCGATCTTCAGGAGAGCTCTTGCCATACACCATGTGCTGCAGCAGCTTCGGTTGTTCCTCAAGCCACCGGAACCAAGAGCTGGGCCGGATGAAGCCTGGGTCAAAGCAGACACACACAGCAGCCGGTATTTTTTTCGGCAATGTAGTCTTGCACCTACAGACAGCCAACAGGATCAATCAGTCAGCACCACGACAATTATGTTGCAAGTCAGGTGCTGAAGTCCTTGCTCGCCAGCTGCTTTTTCACTGCCACAGGGAATTTCAGAGTCTCCACTTTCGGCAAGTGCCGCTGCAGCTGCTTGTGAAATCGCCGTTCATCTCGGATGGAAGCCAGCAATCTCGTTGGATAAGTCTTCGAACCTTCGGCGACTGCTGCCGAGCATACTTCCTGGCACATGAATCTCAAGTCGGTGCCCTTCTTGCGAAGAGACTTCAGCAAGGCACCACTCATTGGAGTCTCGACGAAGTGATCGAGGGCGTTGTAGCCCCGATCCATTCCGGATCGCACGGCTGGCGGCAA